TCCTTTGAGTACACAGGACCAGCAAAGTCCATGCCTACAACTTCAAATGGGTTGGCTTCACAAGTTCTATTTGCAGGTAATGGAGCAACTACCTGAATTCCAGGTTTAACTTTAAATCGTCTACACTTTAAAGCACTTATTCAAACTAGTTTTTACAGCTTGTCTGCCTCAGATTATCCAAAATCGTTCTCTCAATTGTGTAAGTGTATCCGAAACACCAGATTGACACAAGTTTTTATGTTCTTTAAATATTAAGAGTTCTGTAAATTTTGTCTTATTTTGGGATGATAATTGGGTGCTTTGATTGAACATCGAAATCTGAATTCTGTAACCTTCCTTTTAAGGCTATTAAATCATCAGCTGACAAAATTGGATTTAACTCGTATAATTTCGAATTTGGATGTATGGGACTATTGTTTTTTAAATCCAGGTATTCCTTTTCAAATTCAATTCGTTGCACAACTTTAATACAGTAAGTTTCCGCGTTGGTTAGTTCACTCGCTGTGATTGCTCCTATTCTCTTTTCGTGCGCTGCCTTACAGTTATGAATGAAACGAAATATGTATCCTGTGATTCTGAAAACTTTGTTTAGGTCACTATAATTATCAAGATTCAGTAACGGCTGAATAGATACAGTTTTTAAATTTAAAGTTACAACTTTTCGTCTTTCTCCTGCAACGCTATGCAAGTCAGGACAAGAGGCGCTTTCAATGTATGGGATATTCCTTTCTTTTAGCCATGGAGGTCCCGATAACCAAACAGTATCGTTTAAAAGAGCTTGTGCATTCATTCCTCGTGTAAGTTTATCGGCAGGGTGATCTTTTCCGCTACAATGATGCCAATAATCCGGATTGGTTTTTTCTTTTGTTTCTATCACTCTTTTTCTAACAAACTGCTTCCAATCATCGGATGGTCCCTTGATCCAGTGTAGGCAAATTGTAGAATCTGTCCAGTAAAATATTCTTTTCTCATTTAACTTGGAGAAAGTGTCTTTAAGATAACTTCCAATTCTTGCGGAAATTAATGCTCCCATCAGCTCTAACCTCGGTAAAGTAATCTTCTTTAAAGGGGCTAGGCGAGATTTAGACATTATAAAGCTCGTAATATTCTTCATCCGGAAATAAGCTACAGCTCCATAACATTTAGGACTTGCATCGGAAAAAATATGAATCTCTAATGACTCCCAATCCAGTTCTTCGAAATATTGCCTAGGTATTTCCAAGTTTCGAATTATCTTTAATTCGTTATACCAATCAAGAAATGTGTCCTTTATTTCAGTGGGAATACACTCCTCCCATGAAATGCCTTTTTCCCAAATCTGTTGTAACAAAGGCTTTATTCTAATACTGAAGGGGTTCATTAGTCCAATGGGATCAAAAAGCATACCGCCTGCTGCCAAGATAATTCGTTTAGTTATCGCCTTGCGCAATCTCAGCTTTTCAAACTGTCGAATTTCGAATCTAATGTTGTCCTCAACATTGTTCCAGATAAGTTCCAAAATCTTTAAAGGTACGCCTAGTTCTTGAGATGTTTCTCGGAAATCTATAAAAGGTTGTTTCCATGCGTCGCCAAGAATCGGAGAATTTGTTGTCCATCTACGTAGATTCATGCTAGCTTGTCCAAGAATAAATATCATCTCCTTACTCAAACGAAAGGCACCCTGCACGTCAGAAGTTCCGTCGATCATATCATCTACATAGAGTTCATGGAGCATTTCACACGCTTCACCATAGTCTTTGCGATATTTCTCTATGTGTAATCTTATTGTTGCTGACAACAAAAATGAACTACACTTAACTCCAAATGTAACCCTTTTGTATCGAAGAGTTTGGATAATATGATTGCTGAGATCGAGATTAGGACCCTTTTCTTTTATCCACAAAAATTTTAAAAATTCTCTATCTTGTTCTGCGATCCCTACTTCCAAATATGCACGCTGAATGTCAGCGCAAATTGCAATTTTGTGCAATCTGAACCTCAAAATAATTTTTAGTAAATCCGGGTTTAAGTTTGGACCGCAATCTAAGCAATCGTTTAATGACAATCCCCCTTTACCCTTTGAAGATCCATCGAAGACTACCCTAACTTTTGTACTGTCCTTTTGTTTGCGTACTACAGCGTGATGTGGGAGAAAATAACCTGTATTTATATTTTTATCTAAATCCATTTCTACCCTTTCAACAATTCCTTCCCGTACGTGCTCATTTATGATCTCATCGCATTTTATATATAATCCCTTATTTCTCTCGAATGTTTTGTTTAAACTAAATAAACGACGTTTTGCAATTTCATAATTACTATTCAATTCTCTATCATCCGCCCTCCACAATAATCGAGTTTTGTATCTTTTATTTGAATATGTCGTATTTTGTTCAAACGATTCCAAAATTTCTTTATCTGACGGAGATAGTTCTTTATCTGCATTTATCCCGATTGCTTCCAATGACCACAAATTCTTAATCCTATCACAATCTAATTCTTCATTTTCAACAAATAAATGATTGACTGGCACCTCCGGTGAATTGGATTCCTTATCCTGTCCTTGTAGTAAAGCTCCAAAAATACTATCCACTACGATCAATCTTTTACTAACTCTTACGCTCCTTTCACCTAAAATTTGTGATATGTAATCCGAACCAATTAAAACATGTATTTTATTGGAGGTGCTAACATCAGCTAATTCAATCCCCATTTCCATAGCAATATTTCTAACCCATTGTGACGGAATGTTAATTTGTGCCGAAGTAATCGAGTCGATTACCACCGCTTGAATTTTTATCTTTCGATTTGGATTTTTTATACTTTGTAATGTTAATTCGACCACATCATATGTACGCTTTTCTGCGATTTCATTTCCGAATGTATAAATAATTACTGATTCTTTATTAATCACTTCTAAATTTAATGACTCAGCTATTTCTCTCAAAACGAAATATTTATTCGCCCCTCCACAATTGAATATTAACTCCTTGTTTTGTTTTGCTTTCCGCCGAAAAAGTTTGCAATAAGATCAAATTAGAAGCGCTCCTCTTTATTTTATTTTCTTTAGAAGAAAGAGAAATCATAGACGATATAGCATTTTGAGTTTCTGGGATTCCCCCTTTCCCCCCTTGCACGGCGTCAACCGCTGGGGCCGAAACATTTTTTCTTTCATTATGTTCGTTCCCATTACAAATTAAAGAGTTATGAGAAGAAGAATTACACTGTTTGCATTTTTGATAACTCCGATCACAAAATTTACTTAAATGATTTTGAAAACATATAAAACATAAGCCCTTAGACATTAAAGCTTTCTTCTTCTCAAACACATTTAACAAGCAATCGTGACTCATATGATTTTTAGAACAGAAAATGCATTTTAAATTATTCACATGCCTATCAGAAAAGGAAGTATTAAAGTTTCGCTTTGAATTGTAATTTGTTTTCGCGTAAGAGTCAAATTTATGAGGGTGTGAATATCGTTCTTCGATGTGTGTAGCTAAAACTGCGGAGCTAGATTTATTGCCCAAATAATCATTCTTTTTAGTGTTCGAATAATGAGGCCTATTAGGGTAACTTTGATCTGTTTTATTTTTAAATGAATAATCTTTAACAGTTGCATTTTTAGGATTCGCTAATAATAATGCTGTTTCTCTGCAATTTACTTCATCTTTAATAAATTGAAGCAACAAAGAAATATCGAATAATTCACCTGTTTTACGTTGCCGATTAAAATTTAAATTCAATTCCTCGGGTAATTTTTGAAGAATTACTGGGCATAGGAGATTACTGTAAGTTCCTGCAGCTACTCCTAATGATTGTAAAGATCTAATTTGGATTTCTATTGCGTCATACATTTTTCTTAATCAAACAATATTATTACAAGATTTAACAGGATCTATTAATAACAGTTTATGCATATGTGTTGACATTATAATATCAGTTCGCCCAAATCTATCTTTTAGCAATTGTATTGACGCGTCATAATTTTGATCCGTAAGTGAAAATCCCAATACTGAACTTAATGCAACTCCTCCTAGATAGGATTTTAGATATGTAAACTTTTCTATTTTCGATAATAAAGTATTATTGTGTATTGCAACTTCAAAAGAATTCCAAAAATCTAAAAAATAACTACAATCACCGTAAAAAGTTTGAATATTTAGTTTCGGGAGTTTGACAATATTTTTAGTTTCGTTTTGAACGTTAGANCGTTATGTGGTACAAACTGAACAGAGTTATTTACATTTGCCGCGACATTTGTCTCGCTTATCTGAATTACACCTTGTGGTTTAACAATTAAATTTTCTAAATTCCTTTCTATTTTCGATTTCGCTTCAATACCCTTATCTTTATATTCTTCACTTAAATCTATTTCAGCTGCCATATCTTTTATTTCAATTTTTAACTGCACTTTATCATCAGCTTTAATTAAATCATTTAATTTTTCTGTGAGCTGAGATTTTAAGCTCAAAAGCTCATTCACTTTCATTTCTTTCGTGTATTCATTCGAAATTTCAATTCCTATCGTATTTTCTATCTTAGTTAAATGCTTACAAAATGAAATTCTTAACCTTTTTCGTTTTTCCTTAATTCGTTCTAAATCCATTTTAGATATCAATAAATTGGAACAAAGAAAAATGAACCTACCTCAAATCTCAGCGTTTCATTATCTGAAGATATTTTCATCGACAATATTTATTCCGTGCCATTCAATGAATGTTCGTAATTCATAGATTCCTCGTAATAATTTTATGGATTCGTAATTTATAAATCACCACAATTTCATAATTCCATACTATATCACGTCCTCTGTCCCCATGAAATATTTACTTATCCATCAAGCCTGTTGGTTGAGTTATTCAATAGTGATAGCCTGT